ACTGTACCTGCTATGCGCCTTTTATCGTTTAGTGGAAGAGACTGAAACATTTGGCATCGTTTAGTGTAAGTCCGAAATATAGGTTTTAGTTCAAAATCGTAAATATCGTCAAAAACGTTTCTGTCTTTGTTTAATACGATCAAAATAGATACAATAATGTGGATTCTATACTTGAGAGGTCTTCCAAGTGACTGCGCACATAGGCATATTATATGATTTTAACAGTCTTTATACTTTTAAAATCACTTAACATGCGCATAATAAACCCTGATGCTTCTGATTCTTTTTTATTATAAGGTACTCCTAGATTGGTAATGGACGTTACTCTGGTAAGTTTTCTCCCTCAATTTGCTGGAAAATGTTGGGTTTAATTTACGGGTGAAAAGTTGAATGTAACATTTTGAGATATTTAGATCTGGTTTGTTTTTTAAGCAATACTCTTAACTTACAATACACAATAATCTTTGCGAAAGGTTTCTACGGTTCTTGCAATTTAATCATGGGCGTATTTTATCGAAATATTGGAAACATTTGCTTCGGATTTCTTAAATCACAAGAAAAAATTCCAAAGGCTGACTTTGAAATCCATTTTTAGTTCATTGTTGACAATAAGCTATCCAAAGAATGTTTGTCAATTATGAAATCGTTGCCCGAAATAATTTTGTTTGAGTCAGTGTCACATGCTGTTTGGTTTATGGTTGGTAATTGTTTGCATTGATCGTAGAATTTGTATGTTGTATCGAATTTATGTTATATTATTGTACCTATATATATTTTCGTAACATAAATTGTGTTTGAATGTATGTGTTATATTTTCATTAATAAATAAATATTTCAGGACATTTCGCTGTCTGTCTGTGCGTTTGTCACCAGTTTTCACAGATGATGAGAAAACTGGTGACAAACGCACAGTGACAACGATGATCTGTTGCCGCTGTAATAAAGAACAGAATAAAAAATAATTAAGTGGGGCTCCCGTCTCGTGGGAGAGCCGTGATAGCCCAGTGTCCGGGCGCTCGCCTATAATTCAATATACTCGAGCAACCTGAGTTCGATCCCCGGTGCCGGCATCAATGAAGTTTTTAACTTTAAGTGCTGACTTATCACGTGCTCCGCGGTGACATCGTGAGGAAACCTGCATATTTTCGAAATAATAACAAAAAAAAAATATATTTCGAAGATATGTGAAGTCCGCCAAGCCACAGTGGGGCCGCGTGGTGGACTATGCCCTGATATCCTCTGCATAGAGGAGGCCTTTGCTCAGCAGTGGGACATGTATAGGCTGTTACTTTACTTTAACTTTAAGTGGGGCTCCCACACAACAGACATGAATTTTTTTGTCGTTTTTATAGATCCTTCGTGGGCGAGTCCGACTCGCACTAGTTCTGTTTTTATACATAATAGTACGGAGCCCCTTTTCGCACTTGGTCCGTTTTTACACAACTTTAGTAACTCTAGTCTCAAACTACTTGCAGAGCCTGTACTATCGGTGCTAGATTAGTGATAAACAAACTTAAACATATATTTTTTTAAATAAGAACATACATATCATAGATTTCTAATAACACCTAGCCGCTAGAAAAACACTATGTTCATCACACAATATTTTTCCAGTACTGAGGATCGAACACACACCACCTGGCACAAGAGACAGGGCACTGTCAACTAAACCAATTGGGTCAAAAGTGATAAATTCTTAAATATTTCATGCCTTTTCATGTATACTTTAGCGATAGAACGCTAGTTCATTTTATGGTAATTTTCTGTACTACGCATATCCTATAAATTATTTTCCTTCGCGACCCTCATCTACGCCCGACGATTAAAACCTCTTGGATTAATTACGAGCTTTATAATCGATCGTCAATCGTGATGAATGCTAGAGTAAATTTATGTTTGAGTTCAAGATGTTGCGCAATAAAAAGTGATGAAATAACTATTAAATTAATTCTAATTAAAAAAACATTTCTAAAAACCAATGGCGAAATCTCTCGTTTGAATTATCGTTGTAAAAAGATATTCGAAATTGATTGTATGCTGAATAGGACATAACATTGGATGTGCCAAGTTAATAGTAGATTGAATGTCAATGCCAAATGCTAAAAAATAATGTAGATAAAGGACATTAAGATTGTCGTCGGTGTGGCAATCAGCTGCTCAGCTTAGTGGCTAAAGCGTCGGGCCGCGAATGCCGAAAAAGTGGGTTCGATTCCCTCAGCGGCGACAATCTTTTTGCACTTTTTCCACCAAATTTAATAATAAACCTATTTCTTGACGGCAGATCACTTATAATTCTATGAAGCCCAAGGACAGTTGCCCAAAGATATTAAGATGATTAAGTAATTAAGATGTTATGACTTTGCTATCGGATTCGAGCGTAGTTAGTTTTGAGGAATCGCTTGATTTGATTCCTGCTGCTGATTTTCAATTCCATACTACACTCCAAAAAACGGAAAACACTATCAATACCTTCTTAACTAATAGAACACTATTGTGCTCAATAACTGGCAAACCTAAATAAACAATTCATTGAAATGAAATAAGTTAATAGATTAGGATTAATGTTTATTAATTATCTGTGTTTATTAATGTTCATAAAATAATTATTTAAACTCAATGAATGCATTAAAACTAACAATGTATGGTAATATCAAATTTAAAATAATATTAATGTAAGAATGTTGAGTTTACCATAATCAATAGCGTAATTATCATTTATTTTATATTGTATGAATCACTATATTTAAAATAATAATAAAAACATCCTTGCTATTTTTGATAATGATTTTTATTCCGAAAGGAGGAAGAGATGCCTGTAGCCTACTCTACAGACCCTTATATTTCCAATAATATTGTCGTTAATAAGATCCTAACGATACGTTTTAAATTCTTTTAAATTTTAATATTGTGCTATTTGTAAAGCTGGGAAATAAATTCACTTTGATTCATAGCGGTCTTAACTTCTTTACCGCAAATTAATTAGACTCCCTAATTCTCTACTATTAACCGTATAACACACATCGTAAATTTTTAGCGGGATGGTGGGATTTACCAACAGCAAAATGTAAAAGCCGTATTCAGCACGGATGAAATCGGTAGTGCAGAACGTTGCTTGACAGTTTTTATCTATTTTTCAATGTAGAAGAGACCTACCTTTACGAGGCAATAAATTTGTATTGTTTAGGATTGCAGTGAATTGGAACAAAAGAATGCTTAAGCCAGAATTTTTAATTTCGGTAACAACATTTTTCATGGTAATTTCAAGAAAACCGTGCATAATGATATTATTATCACTAAGTAATTTTACAGTAATATCTGGCCAATTTAAGAAGTGATAAGTAAAAAATGAGTTTTCAACAATATTTTTGCATAGTTTAGACCACACCTCATGCTCTAAAAACTTACTACCAGTGTCGTCTATAAGTGTTTATCGTGGGAACACGTGCGCCGCTTCGCCAAGGAACGAATACCTTTTCATTTCCATGTATGGATATAACTTGTCTTCTAATTTGCTTGTACATTTAATTAAGTATTCGCGAGTGCGCAAATAAAACTGCGTTTGTTTCAACAGTATTCGTCAGATTATCATCGTAGTAAATCTTTTTCTTGTAATAAATTCAAATTCAAATTTAAATTCAAATGTAATTACCCATTGATAGTGAACACTACCACTGGTTCGGACAAGAAAAGCCTGACTGACGTGAGAAGATAAATTTTTTTATCCTTGATTTTAATATCGGTTGATTCAGTGGCATGTGAAAATCCAGACCAGCGGGTGATATTTTCAAAAACTTTAAATGATTTTAAACGAATTTGTAGAAAAAAGTACGAAAAGTTATTCGCTGCTGTGGGAATGGATCCGACGTCTTCGAGATTCGGGCTCTGACGCTTTAGCCACTAAGCTAAACGGCTGATCGCCAAGCCAACGAAAATCTCAACGTCTTTCATCTTCATTGTTTTTTAGCATTTGAAACAATGCTCGACGCATCCATAGTCACCAGTATATTCTTTCCAGCTTAATAATGTTAACCATCATTTTACAACTACCGTTGAATTACCATTCGAACGAGATATGTCGCCATTGCTTTTTAGAAATTAAATTTTTATAGTGTTAATCTCTGCACTTGGGATTAAACGTAAAGAAACGTAGAAAAAGTAGGAGAAGTTGCATAGTTAACATTTATATTCACTCGTGGCAAAATCCAAATGTCTGACATTTACGAGTATATTCACTCATCGCAAAATGCAAATGTTTAAATGACATTTTTGAATTGTAGCGCCGTATAAGAAGTAAAGAGAATAATGCACGTGGGCAGTAAACTCGTGTCTACGTTTATAGAACGGAAGGCTTTTATTCTCAATTGATCACTGGAAACGAGTCGAAGTAGGTCCTTCGTAGCCCGATAACAGTTATCATCTGAAAGTTAAAAATGTACTATCACTCAAATTCAATTTTGGCGGCAGCTTTCAAGAATGTGGTGAAGAACATTGTTAGAAATAAAATTGCACATTCTTACATGTTCACCTGGCACTCTTTTTCCTTGAACCTGTGTAGTTTTTACACAAATATTACAAATACTTATGTCTTATAGTTATAGCGGGTTCGAACGCAGATATTTAGAATGAGCGCAAATATGCTGAAACATTATACAGTAAATATATATTTACTCACTTTATAATCATTATTTATTTACTTTTTGATTTTTACTAATCGATCGTAACATTCGTACATCTATCTATCTTCTATGCTATTTATTTTATTGATAGTACTAGTTTTAGCTTTATTCACGTTGGTTGATATTGTTACCAAGCTTCCCATTTGATGCCGTAAAGCTTCTTTACGGCCCAAGTTCCAAATGTACCTAAAATTCTACTTAAATTAATATTCATAAATTTTATAACTTCCTTTTTTAACATATAAAATGTAATACAAAATTAAAAAATCTTTTAAGATCAACTTGATATTGCCACTGTAGATAACATGAAAATGTGTATATGGAATGCCGCTATTCTCCAACCAAATTTTACCAGGGTCACAGTATCGTAAAATCCCTGAAAGTGATGATTTCCACGTGCTTAGGTAAGGAACAGTCGATGTCGGCAGGAAGTAATCGGCGTTTCAAACCAAATATAATTTTAGAATATAATGATTGGAAAGAAGGCATCGATCTCCCTGATGAATTGACAAACTATTACTCACCAATTCTGACATGGTACAAAAAGATAACATTCACATTAACATTCAGATGACATTCACCTATACAACAAAATAAATCCTCGTAATAAGTGCATAATTTTGCAAGGAGAGGTGGAGATAGTGAATAAATTCAATTTGCTACTCTTTTAGCTAAGGCTCAAATTGGTGCCATTTCTATTTATGTGAAAGTTAAATAAGCAGACAAAAACATCCTAGACCTTACCTATACTTACTTAACCTATTCAGACCTAACATATCCTAGGCATAACCTATCCTAGACCTTTTTTTTACGTGGGAAAATCCTTTATGGATCCCCCGCCGCCTTGTGGGTAGGCAGCAGGGGGATGTGGGAGTTACGGGGTACCCACTAAAAACACACGTTGCACCTGCACTGTCGCTTTGCCGGGGATACGGGAACACGAAAACGCAATCTTCCGCGAAACCCGGCGCGACTGTGGCCTTCTCAGGCCCTCCGCGAGGCAGCAGTTAATCCCACATCTGCCGCCCCAGGGCTTGCTATCAGGGGAGAAGGTTGCGCGCGTAGGCCCGCCCCCTGATTTCCAGGGTGGCAGTTGCCTCCCTTTCTCTCTCCGCGGCCTCCTTCCGGGTGATTATGCCCTCGCAGAATGCAAGGACGGCACCCCACCAGCTCTCGCTGTCCACCATAGCGTGAACCACGGCGTGGAATGTGAGATCGTGCCCCACGATAGCCATCAGCTGTCGGCGCTGCTCCCGCCAGGCTGGGCACTCCTCCAGTGCGTGTTGGGCCGTCTCCTCGGCACATACGTCGCAGTGGTGGCAAACCGCTGTTGGCTCCCTCCCCGCCACGTGGCACAGGTACCTCCCGAAACAGCCATGTTCCGAGAGAACCGGCGTCGCCCGGTAGGTGAGGGTACCGTGACGCCTGTCCAGCCACCGACTGACTGCCGGGGTGCTCCAGCCTCTGCTCCAACTCGGCGATAGCGAGTGAGTGCAACCTCAGTCTGCACCCCCTCAACTCCTCCAAGGCCGGCAGATGGCCCTGGGCTATTGCCTCCTCGCGCCAGTTGTGCAGTGACGTGAGGATACCGGCTTCTAGGTCCCAGGGAAGGAAACCTGCCAGCACGCTCGCCATCTCACCGGAGATCGTCCGATATCCCCGTATGGCCCGTATGGCCAACACCCTCTGCCAAGGCACATGGTCCGGCGATTCATGGTGTAACCTATCCTAGACCTAACCTATCCTAAACCTAACCTATCCTAAAGCGATAAAGTTTCAAACCGTAGGCAGAGGCCTGGGCAAGAGAGGACTATATAAAACTCGCACCGACTAAAACTCCAACTATGTTTTATTCAAGATGCATATTGGCAGGGTCACACGAACATTTTCATATAACTTTGGGAATCTATTAGCATTAGACGCCTCAACTGCCCCTCCACAGGGAGCAACCTCTATAGAGGTAAAGCGTGCTAGAACAAAAGACGCGCCTTCCAACTCATCTACTTTTGAACGTACAACCGACTTCCCGAACCCGCTGAAGTCATGGGAGCTGGGAGAGCCACTGCTAACAAGTAACAAGCCTTCCGAGTCTAAGCGGCGGACCGTGTATGTGATTCCGCCGCTCACTAAGTCTTATGCCCGGTTCCTATATTCAACGAACGGCCGTTAGTTACATAGCTTCGTAACTTTCATAACGACTGGTAGATAAAAAGCGTATAGGCCCGGTTCCTATATTATCAAAACGAGGCGTTTTCCTTATGAACTGTTGCATTACCTACGGAAAGTGAGTTATGAAAGCTACGAAGCTATGTAACGAACGGCCGTTCGTTGAATATAGGAACCAGGCATTAGACCCACCGTCGCAGCATCAACGGTGCGAGTTGCTAAGGCGCAACTCCCCATCGATTGCAGAGAACAGGGAGAGTTGCGGCACCACTACTACCCTCAACCTTTCCAGCGCACCTTCCTCGCTCGCACGGTGATTTTGTAAGCGTATAACATATTTATAGTATAAAATAACATTTTAATAAACACTATGTGTAAAAAATTATCCATTTTCATTTCGATAAATTTTTCATGATTTTTGACATTACAAATAACAATCACGTTCATTTTGGCATGCAAATTTTCGTTGTCGTAACGATGTGATCAGTGATTGAATCTGCATTCAACTGTTTCTATATTGTTCGCACATACTTATGTCAAAAAGTTATTTTAGTTTAGAAAAATCTTAAAACACCGGTGCACTAAAACCTCCGAGGTACATTTGCAAAAATTATCCAATTAAAATAAAGAAGACTAAATATGATAAAATTAAAGAAGATAAGAATATCATTTGAAATACGAAAATAATTGATTACTTCTTTTGTTGTAACTGATGTAGCGCTTTCATTCCGTAGACTATTGTTGATAAGTATTTCCACATATAATAATGTAATGACCGCGATAACAAGTTCTGTCGGACTTTTTACAGTCATGTACGATAGTATATCTTTATTATTATACCTATTATTTTGCAACTTCTGTAATAAACTGTCAGAACTTATACTCGAGTGTCATGCACTTGTTACGCCAATATTAACATTGTTTATTGTAATAAAATGGTTTAAATATATCATTAAATAATTTTCATTGACTTTTTAATTTCGTTGTAGATTACAGGCTTTTGATCCATTTATTCGTCAAGCACAATAAACATCCATATAAAAAGAATGAAGGTTTGCCTTGGATGCAAAATAAATTGCCACTGCTATTTTTAATCCTGTTGCGGGAAAACCATTAGTCGGGAATTTATGATGCCAAAGAGGCTGCATTGCAAATGTTTTTCGATTTTCCTCTTTTAAATTCGGCTGGATCAGATTGATTTCGTTTTCGAACGATGATATTTATAAAAAGTTTCTTTTTCAACCGACTAAAACAAGACTATTTTTATTCACGAAAAATAAAATCGACTTCAAATACCTCGCTCTGTATTAATTTTATCTCTGTATTCATAAAAAAATGAATAAAAAAATATAGTCGAATTGAGAACCTCCTCCTTTATTGAAGTCGGTATCTATTCTTATTTAAGTCACAAACTTGAAAGGTTGAAATTGTTGCTTTGTTACACATTTACTTTTCTTTTTCTCGGGGTCCTTTATTAAAAAGAGTATTAAAAATTGGTCAAGTACGAGTCGGACTCGCGCACAAAGGGTCAGGTTAGGGCATTATCTACAACGTTGGTGGCCCCAACGACTCCTGCCGTCGTCTATACACCGGGGTCGTGAGGTCCATGGCCCTGTACGGTGCTCCCGTCTCCCGATACCGATATCCGGTGAGGCGGCGTGCGCACTGGCAGGTTCCCTTCCCTGGGACCTGGAAGCCAGTATCCTCGCGTCACTTCTGGCGCGAGAAGGCGATAGAGCCTTAGAGGGGGCGCAGACTAAGGTTGCGCTCTCTGAGGAGAGGATAGATCACAGCGACGAATTTTTTCTTTTTAACTATATGCCTGATTATGCACTCCAGTTGTTCGGAGGTACAATAAAGTGTGAAATGAGGTACAATAAAGTAAACAGTAAGAGGTATTCAGAGAAGAAGCGTAGGTCTATAATCATACCATAAATTTGGAAGATCACGATCAATACCATGGAGTGTCCACGTTTTTGCGGCCGACGGTGTAGAAAATGTTTTGTTATGAACACAATTTTCATGCTGATATACACAATCAAGAAGAATTTCATTATTTTAGTCTTCAGTCTACTTTCAAATACAAATCTTCTCTCATTAGGCGTCGTTGTTAGCGTCGAGAAAATTCAATAGTAAAAGGAAACGCTTAAGGTGATAAAACGAAAATGGTATGTAAAACATGGAGTTACCGAAGGATATATAGACATATGTAACTTGGATTAAATTTTCAAATTGGTAGAAATAATCGAAAGACATGGCATTGGCCACATTGAATATTATTTCGGTTGCAGCCGTACAGTACATAAAAATTTGAACCTTTTTGCTGTTTCACACATTTCTGAACAAGAAGAAAACGATTCCGAAAATTATTATGAATCGTAGCGGTTTTAAAATTTTCATTTTGGCAAGTTAATAGTACTCAAGTAAGTTCGACGAGAAAGGAGTCCGGAGTAAGTTGACGAAAATTTCCGTGCGTATTCAAAACAAGATCATAACACTATAGGAATCTGCTTTCACAGAGTAATTAGAACCATGTGAAACGTGAGTATATTAAATGATTATCGTTACTATGACAACGAAAATGCAAATAAATAGAGAAATTGAAGTATGTCCAGAAAAGTTATTTGAATTGGTTTTTACTACGTATACGAGTAAGGTTAATTTAAGTAAACATCTGATACTTGATAGTTTTAATATATGTATATACTATCCTATTGCTTCTTTCAAAAACATTAGGTGAAAACCTTTCTCTATAGTTATTCTTTCTGTATACAAGTTGCTTTAGAGATTTGATGTTTTCTTGTTTTGTAACTCATATTTTTTATGTGAGACAGGCAATTCAGGTAGAGCCAGCTGGCTGGCTCTACCTGAATTTCCCTGCAAAGATGTCAATCTCTTATTACATACAACACTCGTAAAACGCAGCGTAAACGAGTTGAAAAAGTTTATTATATATATGTTTGAATTTTTGATTTGTATTGACGGAATACTTTAGGCCTTGTTGTGCATCACGCTCAGCAGGGTAAGAGTTTCCTACCTGCTTAGCCAATATTCGCGTATAACTCAGTCTTTACACGTGTTTATTTCAACCCCAGTTCGTCCAGTTCATATCGCAAATAAAAACTATTCTTCTCTGTTACTTCTTCCAAGCATACATTAGCACACACGTATTTTTTATTACCTTCCAAATATTCATGTAGTTTTTATTCATATTTTTTTATATGAATTGCGCTTTATTTTGATGGTTTTACATGAAATAGATTGACACCGCAGTAATAAAAGTCTAGAAACACAGTACTTATTTCCTAGTTCTATTTGGCCTGAATAGGCTAAATGGCCAGATGTAGATAATTTCTCACTTATATAATTTTCTCATGGGATACATATTAAACCCATATTAGTGAGTATGTTTGTGCGATGTTATTTAGTATGGTAAAATAAACTATTGGAATGAAGACTCAGAAATTATTACGTTAATTAAGTTCTTGTGATTAGTTAATTTTCGGCATAAGTTTGGCATTAGTCTCTCATAGGTATTTAAAATTTGTGAAAGGGTATATTCGCATATAAATATGAGGAGTAATATATCAATGTCGATTAATTTGTAATTTGTGTACTTTAAGTTGCTATGGTTATAATACTCAATATCTACCGTTACTATTTCGAATTAATCGCAAAACAACTAGTTAATGAATTAGTTTTGTGTTGTATTTATAATTTGTAACATTCACTAGCTCACCCAGGTATATTACTACAATGTAACTCATATAAATGATAATTTTTAGACTGTTAATAATAAATATAATATAATGTAATAAATAAATTAATAATAATATAATGTAATAATAAAAGTAGCAGACAAATCCACACATTATGACAATGTTTTTTGGTTGATTTGTACATGCCTTATTGCGTGTTTTTAATAAAAAGTTAAAAAAATAGCCATGGTTCTTCTCTTCGATTTCTAAACCTACAAGGGCGTTTAATGTATTCAACAATGCAGCCGTGGCGTTCAAGTCAATTGAGGAAGCTTTAACTCTCACTATTGGTATAGAGAGGAATCTATAAAAATAAAAAAAAATTGAAACAACTTATTGTGCGATAACTTCATTTTATGTGATGTACTACGAAAAACAAATTAGGTACATTTAATGATGATTTTAGATATAAAAACAAGCATTATTTTTATTAATTGAAATCGTCATTAATTTCTCACCATCTCCATTGGAAACCGATGTTTATTCAACGAATGAACACGTTAAAGTTTTCTGTAATAAGTGAAATAACATCTTAATATAGTTATGAATGTCTGTGTGTAGTGAACTATCCACAGTAATCTGTTAAGCTTATTTTTTTTCGCATTTAGTTCCGTGCATATTAGTTAAACTTGTTGGTATTCCAAAAATGTTCCTTAGTTAAATAATGTTTTTCGGGTTCCATTCCAAGTTTTAAAATCTGCATGAAATCTAATATTTTGATGACTCCGTGGCGCAGTTGCCAAGGTATTGGCTTCGGCGTCGGGGGTTGTGGGTTCGGGACACACGGGACAACTATTTGTGTAACCCACAGTTAGTTGTTTCGCATTTGTTGTTTGTCTACGTGAAATTTATGTATTAATGTTATCCTTAAGTAAGCGGAATGTTTTTTAATATAAAATAACAAATAACAATTGCATGATAGCTTAATCGAAGATTCCCTGTATGGTATTGACCACAGAGTATTGGTTACGTTTGAGACAAAGGTTACGTTTGAAATAGTGTTACGTGATTTTTATTTCTATTCCCAACGGAAATTTCCTTCCAAATTTCCATCATAAAAATGAACATCAAATCGCTTGTTCCTCCTTTCAAAGAATGACTAAAGGGCAAGGGTGCTAATTAGGACCGAATGCAAAATGAACTGCCTTTGTAGCAGTTTTAAAAAAGAGTTTTTTCCAATTCTTCTATTTTTATTTATTTTTGTCCATTTAAACAGACGTGGCTGGGCTTATTTTTATTTTTAAATATCGCAGTAAATATTTAGACTGATTAAGACGATTTATTAAAAATTATAAAATACCTTTTTTAACACTGCACTCATTACTTTAACTATATAACAGTCGAAATTATGAAATATAGATTACTAGCTGCCGCCCGCGACTACGTCTGCGTAGAATAGGCTGAAGGCGTAACATTTAGACACAAAGACATAAAATATAATACATAAATTATAGCCTACGTCTTATTCTGATGTATAAGCTATTATTGTAAAGTTTCATTAAAATCCATTTAGTAGTATTTGCGTGAAAGAGTAACAAACATCCATCCATACATAC